TTTCTCCGTGTAATTTTGGTTCCTGTCCTGGATCTCACTGTAGCCCAGACTGGCCTCGAACTCACAGAGATCCAGATCTCTGTGAGAGAGAGAGAGAGAATATAAGTATAGGTGCCCCCAGAAGCCAGAGGCATCAGACTCCCTGGACCTGGAGTTAGGTAATTTTGAGCTGCTGGGTATGCGTACTAGGAACAGAACTTGGACCCATCTCTCCAGCTCAATCGTGTGTGTGTGTGTGTGTGTGTGTGTGTGTGTGTGTGTGTGTGTGTGTGTGTGTATGTGTGTGCAGGGACATGTACATGTGAAGACCAGAAGATAATCTGTGGGAGTCATTTATTGTGTGGGTTCAGGGGAGCAAACTCAAGTCTTAGGCTAGGTGGTAAGTGTTCCTACTAAGCCATCTTGCTGGGTCCTAAGCATGTTTGTTTTAAAAGTGTCTTCCATGACTGTTTGCTGAGGGCTGGGCTGGGCTCCAGCCCTGTACAGAGGGGAAAGGAGAGCAAACCCGCCCAAGAATGAAAATCGGCGTCCTTGAGAACAGAAGGTGAGAAAAGAAGCTGTGTCCCTGAACACAGCCGAGGGTGAATCATTCCCCAAACTAAAGCCCTGGGCTTATCCCGTAATATAAAAATGCCTCTGATGGGAACAGCTTCTTCAAGTCTTAACCGGGAGGAGTTGACGTGCCCAGGACCCTCAGTCCATCAGGAGATCCCTGTCCTTCTGAGCTGATGGTCTACCCGCTGCCTGCTGTTTTACTCTTGATTGTGATATATTTACATCACTCAATTGAAACCAAAAGCTTGGCTGCCCTCAATCATTCTCCATAAAGGAAAAGCAGTTTCCCAAAGTGTTTTTGAAAATAAATTTTTGAAGGAAGCAATGCTGTTCACTTCTGAGGTAATTGGGAGACGAGAGGCATTGAAATGGGCAGAATATGAATGTGAATGTACAGATGACTTTCATACTTTGTTGCAATTGAGACAGTACTTATTTAATACCAGGAATTAGACTTGGAAACAATGTATCCATTATGGTTATGTAAGAATTGCATATCACTGTAGGGAAGGGACTGATTATAAGCTGATTGCTGATGTTACTGTTTTAGGGCAGCAGACTAGAGAGGTTGGTGAGTGAAAGGGAATAGTTAGGGTAAGGCAATGTCGCTTTTTGCACTGGGTTACACTTCAACACAACCCCCAGGCTTGAGGGAGTTAGGCTCGGAGAGATGTATACACACAGTGGTTTGTTTTACAGCAGAGTGATTCCCTCACTATTTTTTTTTTTTTTAATGGTAAGTAGGAGCAGGCTGGCTTTTTGCCTTTAGGAAGGCAGTCCTTCCAATATGAAATTCATCACCCCAAACAACTGAAAAAGTGACCTGGATAAAGAATGACTGAGAATTTGTATTCTTGACACACCTGGCAAGAAGGTACAGGCACACTCAGCCTGTAACAGATGGCCCTCACAAAAAACAATGCTGGGTGAATTCTCAGAAATTGAAAGAAAAAAAAAAAAAAACGAAAGAAAAGAAATAAACTCCTCCTGAATCATGAGTTGGGTGTTAGCGAAAGATTTGTAATTTCTAGGGGCTTAGAAGCATCACTCAAGTGATGTTTAAACTGTTCTATCAAGCTTTGGAGAATGCTTTCTCACCTAAAAAAAATCCAGGCCAAAGAACAACAAAAAAACAAACAAACAAAAACCCATTGGGGCTTGGTATGTGGAGAAGACTTACCACTGTCTCATGGCTAGAGAGGCAGGAAATGGTGTGGTAACGTGGAGCATGGGGGTAGGTAGTGACCTGTTATGAGGGACCAGGCTAGACAGACAGTTGTCTCAGTGTTTGGACTCAGCTAGTCCTGACCACACTAACCAGCAGATTCTCCCAGCTAACACTGGTCTCTTCCTGCCAACTTTCCCAGCATAAGTAGACAAAACGTTTAGAGATGGATGGGAGCGTTGCAGCCCAGACCTTGACAGTGCCGGGAATGCGCCCGCCATCCTTGATACTGGCTTGAGACAAACCAGGTACATTGTAGCTTGGGTGAAATCACTTCTGTCCACGAGTCATGTGCTTATGACTTACGATTCACGAAAATCACAGGCCCTGAGTCTGTCTCAGTTTCACGGACCTCATTCCACAAAACGTGTTTACCTTCCCGAAAAGTGAGTCTAAGTGTGGTGTAGATCTATCTGTAGGCACTGGGATCTGGAGTTCAGCCCATGTGTATCAACTCCAACAGTTTTGAACGATATTGAATTGAAATGCACCCTACCTACCCTCTGCAACCCTTGGTTTTCAGAAAGCTTTGAGATAGGAATGAATGATCATGAGTCATTACACACTCCAGAAAGCCTCTAACATGAGATAGCACAGAACCAGCAGAAGGGAAAGAAGCCAGCTGGGGAGAAAGAGGAAATGGAAAGAAGGGGAAATGAAAACTGCTGAAAGAAGAGAAGAACCCCAACAAGCAGACAGATGGGAAAAGAGGCCATGGATAAGCACCAAGATTGCTCCTTCACTTAGAACAAAGGTCTGGTGGGCTTTTTTCACTTCTGGCTTACCCACCCAAATATGCTCAAGGTCAGATCTGGACATATCTCTGCTTCCATGAAGCTCTGTGCCCATCAACTCCTTCATTTGTTTAAATTGACCCATCCAAAATAAGGAGAGGGGAACCCACCCTATACCACTAAAAACATTTAAATGTCTGGGGAGAATGGGTGAGGGGGACTCAATTTTGGTCTTCAAAAATCTCTCCACTTGTGGAGGAGAGTCTGTCGTGTGTGAGGGAGTATGTATAACCTTTGCCTTTTTTTGTTTTGTTTTGTTTTGTTTTGTTTTTGTTTTTGAGACAGGGTTTCTCTGTGTAGCTTTGCGCCTTTCCTGGAACTCACTTGGTAGCCCAGGCTGGCCTTGAACTCACAGAGATCCTCCTGCCTCTGGTTCCCGAGTGCTGGGATTAAAGGCGTGCGCCACCACCGCCCGGCAACCTTTGCCTTTTAATAGAACTTGTTTGCTGTGAGTGATTTATTTCCTATCTTTTCAATTCTTTAATTGGTGGAGAAAACTAACCCAACCTAAGATCCCTGGATGATAACACTTGCATTAATAGAGTGATGTCTGGACCTGATATAATAGGCCTATAATTCCAGTACTTGGGAAGGCAAAAGGTTCTTGAACCTCTGGGTCAACATGGGCTATGTTGTGAAACCATATCTCAAATAAATAAATAAATAAATAAATAAATAAATAAATAAATAAATAAATAAATAAATAAAAAAGCAAAAATCAGACATCTGAAATATGAAAGGTTAAGGGTTGAGTTAGCAAGTTAAGAGCTTCCTAAAGCCATGCAATAATGGAAAGGATTTAGTAAAATGCATTCAAAAGCTGAACCAATAAAAAGGTACCCTTTTAGAAGTGTATACTTAAATCCCTCGCTAGAAAAACTTGAAAGCCTCTAGAAATAAGGAATTTTAATCCACCTTTGAAATCAGCCCAGGCAGTTCTGATGTAATCTGCCAGAGGCTGGAACCTCAGTGCATCTAAGTGAACAAGAGAGACTAAGAAGTGAAGTTCTAATTTCTTTTTTTTTTAAATTTATTTTTGTTTTATGTATGTTGGTGTGCTGCCTACAGGTATGTCTGTGTGAGGGTGTCAGATCCCCTGGAACTGGAGTTTATAGACAGTTAGGAAATGCCATACGGGTGCTGGGAATTGAACCCAGGTCCATCTAGGAAGAGCAGCCTGTGCTCTTAACCGCTAAGCCATCTCTCCAGCCCCGAGGTTCTAATTTCTATAGAGGCACAGAGACAGGTATGCTGGCTAGTTCTTTGTCA